TACCTATCCATGTCGGGTATGGCCGAATGGCGCTTTTTTTATTTTATATCTTTTTGTAAAGAAAAAAAATAGTTTTTTTTTTCTTAATAGTCTTCTTATGAACGTGGACTTGGCGCGATTTTTTTACAGTGAAACTGTTTTTGTTCGGATTTTAGTATTTTTTGTAATTATAATAAAAATTTACAATTGGTACCAACTTAAATCTTGCGTTGGCTGCATTTTTTATAGCAACTATTCCCTTGAAGCTACAGTTTATGTAAAAATAATTCCAGCGCACCCTGGGGGGTGTAGATGCAAGCTGTGAAATATCTTTTTTTAACTGTAGTTTCCCATCTAATGAAGGATTACTATGCATTCTCGAATTATTTAGTCTGTGGCAGATCACTTTGCCCATCGAAAAAAAGTCAGGATCGAAATTTTTGCGTTGCTATAGTTTGTGCTGATCAAATTCAGTAATTTCAAGTAGATTAATTGTTATAAGTGAATATAATTAATTAATAACAGTAAAATAAAGTATGAATTACTGTTATAATATACAATTTAGGAAAAAAAAGTACCGTAGAATTAAATAAAATTTTGCAACCTCAAAATACCGTTCTGCTTACAGTAAACACAGTCGGTAGTCTGGCGCTCCGTTGACAACGGATTTGAACGGAACTTGGCGCCAGATTCTACCGAATCTGTGGACCAAAAGGCACTAATTCTTATCAAGACCTTTCTGATGATATCAAATTAAACTATAAAAATTCTTTTAAAAATAATAATATTCTCGTCACAAAAATTTCCTTTCTCTCTTAATTATTTAAATCATAAATAACTATCGCTAAAAAATATAAAACCCAATTTACGATAAAGATGTACCCGTTACTAAATTTTTCTTAGTCTCTTAATTATATAAATGAATTTTTGACATATAATCACATTGACGTGTACAAAACAAAATGGATAAATAAACAAATTTTGTTTATCGCGAAATTCTAATCTATTTATAACTACTTCGAAAATTTATCATAATAAGTAAACTATTTTAGAAAAGCATATGAAACATTGAAAAGGCACAAATTTGTTAAGTCAAGACCTTTCCAATGATAAATTAAAATTTTTAAAAACTCATTTTATCATATAAATACACTGGCCACAAAATTTCGCTTATTCTCTTAATTATATAGATTATTATGTATTTTATAAACAAAAGTATTATAGTTTATAAGTTAAGACTATAAGAAAAGCATAACACTCGTTCCAACTCATAAATTCTTCCAACAAATTTACAAATAATGTGTTTATGTTAATTTTATCTAAACTGGTCAATATTTAGAACCTTTACCCTAGTTAATTTCTTTATCTTACCTTCTTTATTAGTCAATTTTTCTCCCCAATTCAATAAATTATGTGCTAATTGCCGTGCGGGAATTAAACCACTTCTGGATTGATCAGCGGCTTTAAAAGCATCGTTAACTTCTTTTGGTAAGTCTTCTACTCTTGTTTGTAAATGCATTACTTCCAAAAAATCAGCAAATGACATTCTTCCGTCTGTAATGTATAATTAATCGTTATCAAAAATTATCTTTCATTTTTTTTCTAGATTTTCATTAAGGCTTACAATTGACCAAAAAAATGTTGATTTAAAAGACTAAAAATTATACTCTTCAATTCATGTAATATAAGGCGTTTTTACTTACTTTTGTCCTTCATATATTTGCTTAATTCAGCAGTAGTAGGACTAAGACCCAAAGATCTCATGATAATTGTCAACTCTTCAAGACGTTTTATTTGTCCATCTTGTGCAAAAAGATAAAAACACTCCCTGAATTCTGAAAGTTGAATGTTTCATATATAAGAATAAGAAAGTGAACTTTATTTTATAAGATATGTTTACTAATAGTTATACGTAGAAAAAATTATTAATACCTATATTGAATAATATTGAAATTAATAAACATTTGACAATTTTTAAGAGTTTTTAAAATTTATAAAATAAATAAGTACATAATTGTTGTTTGTGTGCTTCATGTAATTCTAATGTATTTCCCGTCGACATTGGTTGCAATTTTAACGAATATTAATTTTGAAAAATTATAAAGAATAACATTTATAACAAAATTTACTAGCTATCACTGATAATGATAATATAAATAAGAATAAAAATAGCAATCAATAAATGTATGATACTGAAATCAGTAGACCTTATCATAGTTTAGTTTTATTCTAAAAATAAATTAGTACTGAGAAAATATTTCCAATAAATGAAAGACAGATGATATGCCTAAATTTAATTCCTATATAATAGTTTCTTTTTTAATTTCCATGAGCGCAATTTATCATCATGATAGTGAAATCAGATGACTGACAAAATTTTTGATTTTCCTTAATAAATAATTTTTTATTAAAAAATTTGCACACGTAGTAGCAATTTAAAAAAAAATTATGAATGCAAATTTTTATACATATTTTGTTTGTAAAAATGATTTTCTTTTTTAATTTAAAAATGTCTACTATATTTGATATGATATTTTTTGTTTTTTTTTGATAATTTGTTCGATTAAAAAGTCGTAAAAACTGTCAGATATTTGTAAATTTTAGTGTCACAAAATTTTTATACACTTGTTTGCATGTATGTTGTGAGTATTTAAAAGGTGTCTAGACCAACTTCCTACTTTAAAACTTAAACGCAAGTATTATATATAATACTGAAAATTTCAGATACCCAACGAATTTTTTGTAGGTATTATTTAACAAATACACTAGTTGAAAATAACGCATAAAGTAGTTTCGTAAAAAAAAATACCAAGTAAATTTTTACTCTTATCTTAAATTAAAGCGCGACAAAAAATAAACATATGTTTAATTTTATAAAAAAATATTCTGTATTTACCGTCAATATCTTCTTCGCGGAAGTACCTTGCCTGCAAAAATTGATAAATAATAAATTAACAAAATATTCAGTTAAAAATTATAATTATAATGAAACAATTGAACTTACCATTTTTATTGACTCAGACACTTACTTTTTGTATAATTATAAACGTATACAATAACAACAACGTAATTTCATAAAATTTATATTGCAGGTTATATTTTTTTAAGTATAACTGACGTTTTTTACAGTTTTTTATTTTATGGAGAGAGTAGAAGCTAGTGGAGACCTCACTTTAGTATTGTAACATCGAAGTTGAGAGTGAATAATCGATATTGTTGTTTCGATTGTCGATGATTTTTATTCTAAAGAATTCCAACTAATGGAAAAATCATCAAGTAAATTTTTTTTCGAAATGATTTTTTAACATTAATTTTTTTAATTTTCCTTATTTATTATATAATTCTAATAATCAAATTTGAATAAAATTGAACGAAATTAAAAAAATATCACCGTGCAGAAACTTGCAAAAAAATTTTTTTCCGAGGTAATTTTCAGAAAATTCCCACAATTTCATCAGTTTTTCGGGAATTTTTTTTCAATTAATACAAAAAAATAGGAGCAAAGTTTGAAAAATCAAAAAGTGCTTGAATCATGATGCTCATTTGATCGTAACTAAATTTTTTTTTGCTCGACGGGCAGAAAGCGTCAAATTTCGGCCCGCTGCGCTAAACGAAATTGCCACTTTCTGTCTTCGTCGAGCAAAAAAATAGCATACACTCCTCGGGAAGTAAAGTAAGAAATGTCTCAGATCACATGTACATGTGATCTGAGACATTTCTTACTTTACTTCCCTCGGTGTGTAATATACTATTTCTCAATCAACAAAAAAAAATAATGCAGTACAATTTTTTTTTAAGTGCCAAAACTTTGTAAAGTCTGTTTTAAAATTTTTAACTTCCTGCTAAAAATCTCAGATTTTCAAAAATTAGGAAGTTATTGTTTTCACCCCGTTTTGCAAAAATCGAGTTTTCATCAGATCTCGACGTTTTAAGGTCATAGGAAGCTTCCCTGACTACCCCCGCGGTGGTGTCTGTATGTCTGTATGTATGTATGTGTATGTGTGTATGTGTGTGTGTGTGTGTATGTAAACCTCTTGTAACTTTTGAACGACTTGACCGATTTGATCGTGGTTGGTGCCATTCGAAAGGGCTTGCCCAAACTTAGATTTCCTGAAAATTTGAACCGATTCGGACCGATAGATTTTGAGAAATCGTGAAAAAACTACAAAAAAAATTTTTTTCAAAAGTGGTTTTTTTGAAATAACTTTTAAACGGCTCTACCGATCAATTTCAAAAACTAATCAGCTTTTAACGTCAAAAAACCACGTCGATCGCCGCCAGTCCGGTCAAAATCGGTTAATTTGTTCGTGAGTTATCGTTGACGAAAGAAAACCGAAAAAAGTGTTTTTTCGGAATTACTCCGAATTTTTTCACTCTGTCGATATAAACTCAAAGATTTTTTATGAAGCTTGAAAAACTGCGTCGAATGCCGCCAACCGCGTGAAAATCGGTTCATTCATTCAAAAGTTATTGCGATTTGAAAATTCAAAAAATAGTGTTTTATCAAATTTCTATCAAACTTTTGAGCTCGAAGAGCTCAAAATAATACACAAATTGTATTTATGAGCTCGAAGAGCTCTAAAACTTCATAAGTGCAATTTCAAGCGTTTAGGTATAGAATTGGCGGGAAGTTGCAGGGATGGCTTTCAGGGTCAACCGTTTTCCTAATTTTTTTTTTATCATATTGTATTTTTCCATGCGATTTCTGAAATTTTATGCAAAATGTTACTCATAGCTGTTTTGATCGGTTTTTTTTAATTTTAAAGTTGAAATATGATTATTTTAACTATTTGCTCCCTTCGATTTTTTTTCAAAATGCTTTCAAGAATTCTCGTTTCTTCAGAATGATTATTCTGGGGATTGTTATTGTTTTTCAATATCATCTCGTTTGTATATTATTATCTAAGAGTCAGACTTTATATATTATATGTAAAACTGCCGATGGGCGTTTCAATAAATAAATAAATACACAAATTATAAGCATGTATATACAATAATAGTAATGGGTCATTGATAGTGAAGGCTAGATAGTACTGAATGAATTTATAGAAATTTTATTTTTTTAATTACGCCTTAAATAAATTTGGAAATCAAACAGTTCCTAAAAAATGACTCATAATAGTCATAATGAACTATTGCGATATAACTACTTTATGTCATCTGATTTTTCAATTTTTACAAAAAATAATTATAATAAACTTTCTGAAATTACATTTGATACTGTTGTCTATCCCTAATTTTTGAATTTTTCAAATAATTAAGTTTTTAAAAATTTAATTTTGTATTAGAATTATCATTTTAACTGTACTACTAAATGGAATGAGATGATTTGACATAAAATTCTCGTTAAATATTTATAATGATTTAGTGTAGAAAATTGATAATTAAAACAATGAAAGCGTGTGGTATTTTTTTATGATTGCAAAAAACATTTCAATATTAAGAGCAAAAAAATTTTTTATTTCAATCTTTTATGCTAATTTAACGATCAGCGAATTCCAACGTATAGAGTTCATAATTTTTCAACAACCGTTTGTAAATTTAAAACTCGTATATTTTCTAATGCTATCAAACTGATAATTATTCTCTAATAAAAAAAAAAATACATCAAAATTTAAGACACTGAAATTAACTGACATCAGACATTCTTTTAGAATTTTATAGCAATGAAATTATTATGAAAAAAATGTTTGAAAATTAATTTAGCATATATTTAATCATTTTTAAAATTGTACATATAACAAATAAATTATGCCAACAAAAAATTAGAAAAAAAAAATTGATACGTACATACAATGCGTTCCTCCAGGAAGTTGTAGAGTTATTTGCGACTTATTGCCCTATGGCTCTTAAAACGCACCAAGATTTTATTTTTAATCTCGGTAAAAAATATTTTTGAGGATATATACTTCCTGGAGCAGCGGTCACAGGAGCTGATGGCAGTTCCGGATCCTCGAAAATATTTTTTACCAAGATTAAAAGCAAAATCTTGGCGTGTTTCAAAAATTACAAGACAATCGATCGCAAATAACTTTATAACTTCCTGGAGCAGCGGTCACAGGAAAATTAATTAATTTTTATTTATCTTTTGTATTTTTAATTTCTTAGCACTTATTTTGTATGATTACTACGTTTTTAATCGTCTTTGTTATGAATTGTAAGAATTTATATTTGTAAATATTTAGAGATGTCCAAAATTAAAGATATCTAAATTTACTGGTCTATATTTAGAGATGTCCATTATTTTTTAAGTTTACGAATAATTAAAACTGTCAATTTTTTTATATTTCTAAATTTTCAATTGTCTTTTTATTGACTTGTCTAAATTAATTCTTTTCCATTTTTTTAAATATCTGCAATTTTACTTGTTTGTTTTATGGTTTGTCTAATTTCAAAGATATCTTATTTTTTAATTTTATAATTTTATGCTTATCTTTTTTAAAATAATTCCAATTTTTTTGGTAACTAAATTTTGAGATTACTACCTTTATTATTATCGAAATTTTAAATTATCCTTATTTAGATAAATAATTTTTTTATTATTTCTAATATAATATTTATATAAATTATTTACTTAGTGATTTCTTTATTTAGAGTTGT